ATGAGGGTTTATCCAATAGCCACATGTGGCTGTTTAATTATAAAAAATTAAAATTAAAAATCCACTTTTTTAGTCACATTAACCACCTTTCAAGTGCTCAGAAGTCAAATGGAGCTAGTGGTTACCTTACCGGACAGAACAGATATAGAACACTTCCATCCTCACACAAATTTCTGTTGAACAGTTGGGCCTGGATAATTTATGATATTTAAAACATCACCCTTGCCTTTACGTATATATTAATTTTAGGTTTTTGCCATAGGTCACATGCACTCACTGGGGAAAAAAAGAGAGAGAAAGAGAGATAAATCACTCCCCCCAAAACCCCCAGGAGGGATGGCCACACTGCAATCCCTTCTCCTCTTGGGATCCTAGGCACGCATGCATGCACACGCACCGGACATGAGTTTATGCCACCGGGTCGGGGACTTAAACCGTGGTCGACTACATGGGAGTCCAGCGACATAGCCATTACACTAACTGCTGGTCCCAGCCTGGCATGATTTTCAAGCTCCTGCATCCGGGACTCTAACCACAGTTGAACATGTGGGAGTCCTGTACCTAAACCACCACATCACCTTCTGGACCATGAACTTCGTAAGTATATCACAAAACATGATTCATCAGGGGACCAGCAGTTAGCGTAATGGCTATGTCGGTGGACTCCCATGTAGTTGACCGCAGTATGAGTCCCGGACCCAGTGGCTTAAACTCATGCCGGGCTTGTCTGCATGTGTGCCCAAGATCCCAAGAGGAGAATGGAGAAGGGATTGCAGTGTGGCCATCCCCTCTGGGGGATGATTTCTCGCTTTCTATCTTTCTGTCTCTCTGCCTTTCTGGCGAGCACAAGCGCCCAATAAGAAAAACCTCTCCAAAAAAAGAAAAAAGGAATAATAAAAATAAAAAGACGCATTGTTTCATGAGAAACCTAGGAAAGGTTATTGAACAAATAGCCTCTTAGGCAGAAGGAATAAACATATCCGAAGTTCTATCCCAGCTAAGGTGGTAGTGGGGTGCCAATGTATAATCACTTAGCAGGATTTAGTTCTGTTCTTGGACCAACCTAGGTAGGCCAGTCATGGTGGTATATAGATAGCCCTAGCTAGTTGAGAGGCTTGGGCAGGTGGTTTGTGACATGGTAACACCCTGTTAAAGACACCTATGTTTCTATCTCTCACTTTTCTTCTCTTTTATTTAAAAAATAAGTCAAATCTTTAAATCATGAACATGTTTGTATTATTAACATACATGTAAGTTCTTAAGAATTGTTTTTTATATCTAAAAATCCTGACAGATGAGCACTCTATTAGTAAGAATATTAGGGGACCAGCAGTTAACATAATGGCTATGTTGCTGAACTCCCATGTAGTTGACCGCGGTTCGAGTCTCAGTCCTGGTGGCTTAAACTCGTGCCGGGCCTGTGTGCATACGTGCCCAAGATCCTAAGAGGAGAATGGAGGAGAAGGGATTGTGGCATGGCCATCCCCCCAGGGGGCAATTTCTCGCTTTCTATCTCTCTGTCTCTCTTTGTCTTTCTGGCAAGTGCACGTGCCCTATAGTAAAAACCTCTCCCCCCTTCCCCCCCAAAAAAGAAAGAAAAAATAAAGAATATTACATAATCAGCAGATAGTGTAATGGTTACATTGATGGACTCCCATGTAGTCAACTATGGTTCAAGTCCCAGACCAGCTGCTTAAAACTCATGCCTCATGCCGGGCATGTGTGTGTGTGTGCCCAAGATCCCAAGAAGAAAATGGAGGAGAAGGGATTGCAGTTTGGCCATCTCCTCTGGAATGATTTTTCATTTTCTGTCTCTCTGACCAGTGCATGTACCTTATTACAAAAATCCCTTTAAAAATAAAAATAAGGGAACCAGCAGTTAGCATAATGGCTATGATGCTGAACTCACGCGTAGTCGACCGCGGTTCGCGTCCCAGACCTGGTGGCTTCAAACTCACACTGGGTGCGTGTGCGTGTGTGCCCAAAATCCCAAGAGGAGAATGGAGGAGAAAGGATTGCGGCGTGACCATCCCCCCTGGGGGGTGATTTCTCGCTTTCTGTCTCTATGTCTCTGTCTGTCTGGCAAGTGCACGTGCCCTATAGCAAAAATCTCTCCAAAAAAAAAATAATAATAATAATGATAATAAAAATAAAATTTAAAAAGTAAGGATAAACATATGTATCCTGTATATAATTATAGATTACATCCAATATTTACTTTTCTATATTTTTGTTGAATTTCTCCTGGTTATATGATTTTTTTGGTCTTATAAAGCCATCTTATGGGGTCTCATGAAGTCTGTTAAGCATGATTGATAAAGTCTTGTCTAACTTGCTTATGGATCTTGAGAAAGTACTTTTGCCATTTGAATTAGATTATTTTTTTCCTCTTTTAGTAATCTAAAAGGCCAAGGTTTTTTAAACCATCATGAATATCTACGTCCCTTAAGATCTTGCCTATTTTTATCCCTTACCCCCATAAAGATAATTTCAGTTGGTCTGAGAGGAAATCCCATGAACTGTATTTTAATTATGAGGAGCTTCTCTGATGAACGCACTTTTGAGCCACACTTTATTGTTCAGTATAAACAGCAAATGTTTATGAGTCCACATGAAATTTTGGCACCGTAGTGATTTATGACACTTGCCTATAAATGATCTCTTTTCATAAGGATTGATTTCTTTGTGGCATAGGCAGGTATAACATAAATAGCTATAAATTTCTCATTTAAAACATTACTTATTAATAAAAACAACTCACAGGCCAGCAGGTGGTGGTGTGTTTCAGGCACTGGACTCCCACATGGCCAACCACAATTTGAGTTCCACACCTGATGACTTGCTTTCTCATTTTCCTTTTTCCTCTCTTCCTCTGCCTGTTTCTCCTGAGTCAAATTTAAATAAATAAATAATAACAACAAATAAAATTAAATAAATCTTTTTAAAAATAAATTTAAAAATTCACACAATTCATTAAATAACAGACTTCCATTTACACGTCAAGCATGCAAACATTTTAGCTGAAGATTAATTTGTCATGATGGCAAATGATATATCCATTAAAATAACAACTATCAAAGATGGATGAGGGCAGATCAAAAAACAGTAGAACCAATATTCTACTACAGGTTGGCATTCACTTCACTCAAAAGATGCAAATGTTTTTATCTGAAGATGGAGGCACAAAATCCAAGCAGAGGTTGTGGTTTCTGAAAAATTAGTATCAAAATATGTAATCGTTATTTAATATTTCAGATGCATGGGGGTATTCTGGGCATTATATTACCATATCAATTTCTCGTTCAAAATCCTTCAAGGAATCTTTCCAGCTTGCCTGCAGGATTAAGTTCATTGTCCTCAGCTTGTCGTAGTATTCTGAGATCTGGCACGGACTTGCTCTTTGGATTTCCTCTCCTGCCATCTCGCAGCACCACTGTGCTCTTTCACGCTTGTTTCCCGTAAGGTAGAGTGTCCCACAGGATGTCTTTGAGAGCACTAATTTTGGGATGCTAATAGGTGTTACATTTTAATAATAAAAAAAGTCTCCAAGGTCAAATGCATTTGGGAAATGATATGATACGTAAAGTTAATCATGTTCCCTTCCATAGTTCTGAGAACCTTTAGGATGCTAGTGTGAATTAAAAATAACTCGGGAGTGGATATAGAGTGAAATATTTCCCCAAAGAATTTTTTTTCATGAAACACCTTGTTTCATGGATTGTCTATAGAGATTATTTTTCTGAAGGACAGGTTTAGGAAAAACAGAGATGATGGAAACAGCATGGGATCTGGAATCTGAGGTCCTTGGGGTCAAAATTCAATCCTGATATTTACCAATGATTTTATCTGGGACAAATTAATCTTTAGATTTGTGTTTCTTCCTGGCAAAGTACAAATGTGTTATGTTTAATTTAGAAAGACATCGTAATAATTTAATGAGAAAACATATATTAGACACCTAGTATTGACCTTTTCCATAGGTTAGTGGTCAGTAAATAACAGTTTGGTTGCTTTTTCTTGCTTTCCAGCCAAACTAAACTCTTCACAAATTTCTTTAATATACACAGCTCTTTGCTTTTAGAGGTGATAAAATGCTGAGAATCTGTTACTTATGTGTCCAATTTCTATTAAAAAAAATTTTTGTAAAAATTTTAGTCTCTTTTCCTGCTTGTTGTCATCCCATTAATCCCATTCTTCAGAATCACCTTGGTTTTTTTTTGTTTTGTTTTTTGGTTTTTTTTTTTGGAAGCCTTTCTTCAATCTTCACAATTAAAACTGGCTTCTCCTATGTTTATATTTGGATAGAAATTTTTCTTATTCCACTCACTATTCTATAAATTCCATTTTTTCTACCGTATTATAAACTCTGTATATTCAGAAATCAATTATTGTTTGAGTAGCATAAAACATTTTAATTGAAATAAATGCATAAATAACAAAGAAATCTTTTGTTTTCTAGGAATACCACAAACAGTAAGACTTTCTTAATGATGTAGCAGCAAGTTTCAAGAGTGATTATTGATATCAAAAAGTTGTCGATCCCTGATCAACATTCCTTCAGTAAACTTTCTTGCCTCTATTTCTTTCAGCTGTTTATTGAATGATAAAAGAAACCTAATTTATTCATGAGTTGCGTTTTTTTTTTTCAAATTTTCATCACTATTGGCATTTTTTATCGGTCCATTTCTTTGCTGGAGTTCTTAGGAAATATCTAAGTTCTGAGCTTCCCTGGATTTAATGTAAAATGCATTTGGCTGCATTCAAAGTCTGCTAATTAGTTTATAAAATTAAAGTTCTTGTCCTAATTTGCTGCTTAAATCTCAGTGTTGGAAAGTCACATAACAAATTGGATGAAGACGTAGACTTTGTAGTTAAACATTCTTGGGTTAAAGTCTTTATTTCACCACTAATTTACCCATATGAACTTGAAGTTGAGTGAACTTGAGCACACTGTGCTAGCTGTACTTCACAGGATTATAGTGAAGTTAATGAAATAATATATATGTATATGCCATTTACTGAAAGATGAACATATATTAGATATTGTAATTTTCTACAAATATAGTTTTATCATTTTAAAGCTTACAAAAACTTTTATTGCTAATAAAGTTCAATTTTGGCACTCCAATATATATTTGTTGCTATTTTTATATTCTTTAATTGTTTCAATATTATTCAAGAAATAAGAAACTTTATGGCCTCATCTATTAGTTAAGTGTGGGTGGAATTTCAGGATGTCCCTTTGTCTTCATCCCCAGTATTATTTCCAACTCTCTTTGTAATCACCTTCTCATTATGTATTATTAATGCATTAAAATAATTTATCTAGAAATAGTGTTTATTCCAGGCTGGCAGGTGGCATGGTGGTTAAGGATGCTGGACTCCCATGTGGCCAACAATGGTTCGAGTCCCAGACCTGGTGGGTTGCTTTCTCATTTTCTCTCTTTCTCTCTCTCTCTCTCTCACTCTGTCCCTCTCTTGTGAAATTAAAATAAATAAATAAAGTTAAATAAAATAATTCTTTAAAAAAATAATCTTTGCTATTTTTTAACTTTTTTGTTTGCTCTTATTTTATATTTTAATACAAAGTCCCAGTTAATCAAGTGGGAAGCAAGAAGGAATAAATTCACACTGAAAAGAAATAATGAGGACAAAATATATTACTGGTCCTGCTATGGTTATGCAGCCATAGCTCAAGGGTCTGCAATGCTGGAAGACATATGGAAAATTGAGTTTGGTTCCTTGGTTGACTCGTACACATCAGGTATGTGTGTGCTTGTGATCCTTGCCTGGTGGGAACAGTTTGAGAGAGCCTATTGAGTCTGCTTATTTTTCTGTTTCACCTTCTAACAAGAACTAAATAAGTGAACTTTAAATGTGTGCCCTGGTAGGATAGTTTGACTATCAAGACCCATTAGGTGAATGCTCCAAGTGTGGGACTATTAGTGAACCTCAAATTTGCCATAAGGACAAAACTACAGTCAAGATTCACTTCATTGTTAGGCTATGAGACCTAGTGGACTGTTGCACTAATTTCACACTCCTTCCCAATTCTCTTTAGAAGCAGTTGCTTGGAGGTCTTAATAATGTGGTCTTGATAATAGGTTCCTTTTAATCCTCTAGGTCTCAAAAGAGCCAATGATTTCAGCTAATGAAAACTAACTTCTGATTTTAATAGGTCTTCAATTGGAAGAGAAATAGTCATGGAAGGAAAGAAGCAGAATACCTGCATATCTCAAAGGAAGATGAAAGAAATACTGTGTTCAAAGATTAGAAGCACCTCTTTATTTTGGAACGAGAATACAATTATTATTCCAAGAGACAGTATATATTGAAAAGAATCTATTTGGGGATGTATTTTCATTGCTGTTCTACTCTTTTCTCAGTGTAATATGTTTCTATTTTATATAAAACAGGAGTCAAACTTTTTAAGAAAATACTATATTCACTCAAAGATAAAATAAAATAGCAATAATAATGACTTGCTTTAAAATGTATATATTAAACTAATTCAGGCATGCAAATTTTTAGCTGACATTTAAGTTTCCTTGGTATCTAGGAAGAGAAAAATTATTATTTATGTGGAAATAATGCTCTCCAAGGGAGAGTAAAGTGTTCTATTTATTGAGTCCTTGTTCTTTGTGTTACACAGAATCACCCACAAACCACTGCTGTCCACCTGATGCCTGCAACCATTTTAAGCTGCCTTCTTTTTTGGCACAGCTTCCCTAAGTTGAGTACTTTTTTACATACCCCCAATTGGTTCATTTTTAGATCAATTGTGACTTCCTGGGTTATACTAATTCTGATCTCTTCAGAAAACAAGTGTACGTGGTTTTTGCAGGTGTCATATCATTTATAATAAAGGAAAAAAGCAACCACACAGAAACTTCGGAAGAGAAAGAGATTGGAAATGTGCTCTGAAGTGGAAAACTGAAAAGGGAATAAAAATAATAGTGTCTCCCGAGGAAATGACCCTGTTTGATCAGCTCTGTATCAGTATTCCTCCAAACCAGCCCGCTTACTGCCCCTGAGCACATTTTGCACCTGCACTTCTCCATACTTGCTCGCTTGTTCTCCCAACTTTGTGTTGTTATCCAGCTGGATTACATTCAGCCCACAGCTATGAGATAATGCCTTCCTTGTTTAGAAGTTGGAGATAATATCTTTTTTTCTCTGGATAAGCTTATTATCTATTTTCATTGGTAGCTATTTTCCCAAAATTGTATTCCTTCTTTGTAAGTGCAAGCTCCTGCCTGGCCTCCTCCTCAGTCCTAAGGTTCAAATTGCACCTAGTCTCTTATTCCAGATCCCACCATCCCTTGGCCAGCATGGACTAAGCAAATATAAGCACCTGACCAACACCAAGATGATATTTTTGCACTCCCTTGTCTGACCATTTTTTATTTCTCTTGGTGTTTTGTTGCTTGGTGTGTTTGCTTTATTTTGTTTCATTTTAAACTTGCCACAAGAAAGAAGATGATTCTTAGTCCATTCCATAGAATAATCTAAGAAAATTATTGAGACCTCCTAGTAACCATGTTGAAATGACCAGTCTTAAAGGATAAAATCTACATGCCAGGGGGAGAGAAAGACAAAGAGAAATTACAAGTTTTGTTGTGGTATTTGTGTTGCTGGTTTTAATCATCTGTGAGACCCAACTTTACTCTGTACCATTGTGCTTTACTGTGTTAGCCAATAATGTTATATTTGGCATAAATTATATCAAAATGAATTTGTGTATTAGAAATTAAGAGAGAACAAACTAATGTGCTATTACTTAATCTTTATAGATACAATATATCATCATTTTAATGGTCTTTATAAATTGGAGAGTTTAAAATTACTTGGGAGCAGCGACTGTATTTCATATTTATTTACATCCCTCCTGGTATCACTACAGCAAAAGAAACTCAATAAACACTTTGTTGTTTGATTGAGAAGACATGTTCTAAGGTGGTTTCCAACCTTTTGCTAAGTGTCTTGACACCCTAATTGAATTGCAGCATTGATAGTAAAAAGCGGCTGAGGGTGGAAACATCATTGTCAACCAGTTCTCCTTAAAAACAATATGAAGGCCAGCAGATGGCCTATTGGTTATGTCACTGGACTCCCACTTGACTGACTGTGGATCGAGTCCTGGACCAGAGGGTTTGAAATTCACATCGGTTGTGTGTGCGTGCCCAAGATTCTGGGAGGAGAATGGAGGAGAAGTGATTGCAATGTGGTCATTTCCCCTAGGAAGTGAAAACCTCTAAAAACAATACCAAAAAAAAGCAATGTAAAAGAGAACATATTCTACTTAATTTTCTGCACCTTGGCTTTTTTTTTTTTTCATCGTATAATATCTCAGAAATCATTTGGTATCAGCATATGCAGATTAAACATTATTTTTCCTCTTTTATTTTATCATTTTTTAAACATTCAGTCACTGTGCATCATCACAGCATGCCAAATGAATTTTCCCATCATGAATTCACCATATATTAGTGCAGTCAAAGATAATACCATACACATTATCACCAACAGATCATTTTCCATTATGTGCCCTAAATATACTGCTTCTTTCTTTTTCCCCTTGATTCCCTTCTTCTTTCCATCCCCTATTACCGACCCTCCTCTCACACTGTCTCTGGTATCCAGTTACTCTCCACGCCTTTATATCTTCCAGTATTCAAATAAATGTTCACAGATTTACGTTTTCTTTGAAAAAAAAATACTTAGCATACTCTAACCAAGAATTTCTACATGCAGGGAAAATACCAAGTTTATAAAAAAAGACATGCATATAAATAGTGAGAGTATCTTCATCCTTAATAGCCCATACATGAAGTAATACAAATAGCAACAAATATACTGTGATATATAATGTCAAATTACACTAATATAAACAGGAACTGCTTCTCTAAAGAGAAACAAAGGTGTATCTCAAAAAGACTACTTTGGTCCAAAGGCAGCCATCAAAGTGTACATTGTGATTTGTTTAATTCTACTATGTTTAGGAACTAGTGAATCATATTTATGTTAATGGAAATCAAAATACAAGCTACATATGTTTATGGTGATGGGTATTGACTAAAAAGTTACATGGGATATTTTCTAATTTTTTTTTTGGGGGGGAGAGGTTTTTGCTATAGGGTGTGTGCACTCTCACGATAGACAGAAAGAGACAGAGAGACAGAAAGCGAGAAATCACCCCCCAAGGGGGATAGCCATGCCGCAATCACTTCTCCTCCATTCTGCTCTCAGGATCTTGGGGACGCATGAACACGCGCCCGGTGTGAGTTGTAAGCCACCAGATCCGGGACACTAACCACAGTCGACTATATGCGAGTCCAGCGACATAGCCATTACACTAACTGCTGGTCCCAATATTTTCTATTTTAATGGACATGATTAATGTATTGATAGGGATGTTTGATACTGCAGAAGGGTATAAAGTTTTAACAGTTTGGGGACCAGCAGTTGGTGTAATGGCTATGTCGCTGAATTCTCATGTAGTC